TTGTTTGGTGCAAATTAAAATCTAGATTTTAATCTAACCAATCAATTTTAACCACATATTTTATGAGTCCCACAACTTTTCAATTACACTTTTCATCAACTTCTATAAAAGTCTACTAGAAATTTGATTTTAATCTCTACCAAACAGGAGCCTAATGTTAACTTTTGAAGGTTATGTTGATTTCTCTTGCCTAGCAATTGGTGGGGGAAGAACATATTTTGATCTATCTCATCATTACCACTAGAGAAAATTGGTGCAGTAGTGGAACTTGGATTTGGAGATAGCTAAATTTCTCTATCTCACACAAAACGTTTGAAAATGTGATTAGCAGATTTATTTGGAGTGATGCTTTCCAATTTGGTGATTAACGTAGATACTATCTATTGGCTAGATGATGCATTCAAAATGGGAACTTCATGGAAATTGATTGCCGTGATATCAATTCTCATGATTAGCCATGTGAAGAACATTTACATAGAAACTTCATCAGTTTGACTGTAGTCATCTACTTCGAAAATGTGACAATAATATATGAAATGTACCCTCCCATCACTTTTGTCTATCCTCATTCTTGTAAGGTGAACTGATTGGAAATTATTATTGCAGGTCGGATCTGTGACGGTCATATGATTCAAAGTTTTGTAGGATCTCTTACTACAAAATATCTCTCTTCCCTCATTCATATAAAATGTATGGATCATCTTGTACTCAACTTTAGAATGACATCCTTTTAGTCCTTATACCCAGAATGACATCCTTGTAGTCCTTCCATTTTCATAGTTTCCATGTTTTGAGAATAATTTTGAGGCAATACTCACCTTTAGAATGACATCCTTTTAGTCTTTTTGTTTTCATAGTTTTCATGTTTTGAGCATAAATCTGAGACTGTATGGTAATGCAGTTTTTTAAGGAATCAGTGTTTGCCTAATATAAAAACTCGATCCAAGGTTGTCTGCCTTTTCCTTACCTTCATGCTGGAACTTATTAAAAATCAACTACCTATATTGGACAAGACTTGTCCAATAGCCTTACTGGAAGCCAAACTTGTTTGTTGGAATTACCATTGTCTCCATTATTGGGATTTTGATAATGAGAAATGAAATGCACACTTGGGATTCCCATTCCCACATAGCAAACTTTATGTATGTACAATGTTATGTGTATGATAGATTAGATTTAGTGCGACCAATGAAACAATTTGTACATTTATAATTACAAGGGAATTGCGAGAGAGGAAATGTCACTCATCTTATTGCTTTCCTCTTGGTGCTGTAATTTTAGATTGGCAGAACTTCATTTGATCTATAAGTTGCGTTCTCTGCAGGTTGTGCTATCTGCTTTTGATTCAGACGCCTCACTTGATGTATTGGACCATCCAGTTCTGAACTTAATCTACTACATGGTACACAACTTCGTCCCCCCACCCCCACCCCCACCCCCCCATTTTGCCAATTCTTTTGACATATATGTTACGTAACTTGTCTTGTATGAAACAGTTGGTCGAGATTCTTCCTTCAGCTCTTGTATTGTACATCTTGCGTAAGCTGCCTCCAAAAAAAGTATCAGCCCAGTACCACCCGATCCGTTAGAAGTTCAGTAGTCTCGAATCAGGAAAAAAAAGGAGAGCGAGCCTGGAAAACCATCCAGGTGCATAATTGTTGTGGGAGTTGTCTGTTCCTTACATGGAACTCGAGCTCGAACTCTATCCAGTTATTTTATTTGCAATTAAAGAAGTTATTAATTTATAGAATTGGTCTTGTAGTGTAACATTGGAGGGTGTTGATATTTGTTTCTTCACTTATAATCTTTTTGCATGTAACAACAATTAGATGCTGCTGGTGCTATCCTGCTGTTGTCTTTTAAAGGACATTGGCAAATGTTGGAGGATTTATTTGTAAAATTTCCTCAAGTGCAAATGTAACTGTCAATTTCCTAGTAGAATTGCTTGATTTTTCTTTTCTAAATGTCCCCAGGCATAATGGATTACATGTCATTGTTCTAGTATTACATTCTGTAGATTACACTCACATATCGTGCGTAAATGCATTCCTCATGTATTCTTCATCTTGTTCCTTTGATCTTAAGAGGAAGAATATGGTTATGAACAGTTGGATTTCCGGCCAAAAGCTTGATCAAGAAAGTAAGGAGAATGGAAGTTGTCATATAATGCAAGCATTATGACGACAATATTGTCCACAATTTCCTCGTCCTACAGCACAGGTGGATCACTGGCATGATCTTTCATGCCATCATGCCACGCAAGGACATAATGAGATCTCCATTAGAAGATTAGCCATTTTTCCTCAATATATCCCTCTTTATAGCGTATTAGTCCCATGATAATGCTTCAACTTTCCTCGCTTACCTTTTGGCTTCAGTTAAAGGTTGTAAAAGACAAATTTATTGGCACTGTCACTCCTGCAATGGCATCTCCAGATAGTTTTTACCAGTGTATCTCTTTTTGGTCCACGCGCAGTTCCAATTAACGGTGACAAAAATTGCATTGAAGGTCAACGTCTTCATAAGGAGCATTACCTGTTTAATTTCCATTCAATTTCTGACAAAATTAAGTCATCTAGTACTAGCCAATCTTCTTCACCATTTTCGAAAACGTTGAACCTAAGATTAACCACATATTAGATATTACATAACATGAATCAAGTCGACCAAATATTTCTGCTCTTCCCTATAACTGTTTTGTTCTTCATCTAATTTCAATCCAAGAAGATTAAGTTACATAGCATCACTAGAATTCTTGAGCTCAATTTGTACAGGTAATCCTTGATTGAATTCCGGCTGTCGATCTCTCTAAAGAAATTATCTTTTAGAAAAAGCTTCCGTGTAAATATATTAACCAAGATATGAATCGTTGTCAGAGTTCCAATTCTTGCAAATGGTTTATACTACTCAAATAGGGGCCTTTGACAGGCCTTTTGACAAGGCTGAGGTGTCACATAGACCCCTCAGCAATTTCAAATCAAGGGCTACTTGTGTAGCTCAGTTCCTTGCAAATTCATAACAAGGACACATTCTTGGTCTCTCTCAAAATTTCATAAAGCTACAAGGTGGCAGGCTTGTTGCTTGGCTTTCCAAGTGCAAGGGGTCGAATTTCAATGCTTTTGGTAGATGGTGTTGGGCAATTTAACTTATTGCAAGAATAATTCACCAATCCAAGCAACTAACTAGAGTGATTAAATATGCAAGTAATTAATCAAAGCAAAAACAAGCAAAACGCAACATCAAATTTTTATGCGGAAAAAACCCCCAATGTAGAAGGAAAAAACCACGGGATAACTCCGGCCAAAATCCACTATAATAAAAGTATAGATTACAATATTCAAGTTTATACCCCAAAACTTGAATTTTCAACAAATTGAAAATATCACAATAATTACTCTCTAAAAACAACAAATAATCTTACCACAAATCATCAACTTGATTAACCTTGTGAGAACTCATGTTGAATAATGTACCTCTAGAGTACCTAAAATGTATCTTAGAGAAAATCCTAATTTGTATTATGTAAAAAAGAAAAAAACCTGTGTGAATTCACACTCAAAAGATTGAAAGAAAACTTCCCTTCCAATTATTTTTTCTTCTTTCAGCTGCTTGGTTTTCTTCTCTCTTTTTTTAGCCGAAGTCTCTTTTATATTTTCTATAGCAGCCTCTGTTTTTTTCTCTTTCTCATGCACAGCCACATTTTTGATGATTTTTCTGCCTACCAACCTTATTTTGGAGATATATTTATATGTGTATGGCTACCTTTTTGACCTAAGTAAAATTAAAGTGGTGTTTGGGCCTTTTTATTCATCATGGGCTGAAGCCCATTTAACAATCTCCTCCTTCAGCCCACTAAGGAAGGAGATTATTCTCTAATAGATTAGTTAGAGTCTATACCAGTCAATCTAGCACAAAGCTCAAGCTTTTCTCTGGTCACAATTTTTGTCATCACATCAGCTGGATTCTTCTCAGTATGAATCTTCTCTAATAATATCAATTGTTCTGCCACTACCTGTTGTAGCCAATGATATCTCACATCAATGAGCTTTATCTAAGAATGATAAGTAGCATTTTTGTTCAAATCTAATGCGATCTGACTATCACAATTAACTACATATTCGTCTTGCTTCAAACTCAAATCTTGGATAAATCGTTTCATCCAAAGCATTTCTTATGTCGATTTAGTGGCTGCAATATACTCAGCCTCAATTGTAGATAAGGCAGCACACTTTTGTAATTTTGACTGCCATGCTCCCCCTGCAAAAGTAATCAAATATCCTGAAGTTGATTTTCTATTATCAAGATCACCAGCCATATTTGCATCTGTAAAGCCTCCAAAATTGGTTTTGAACATCCAAAAGTCAAGCACATCTTATAAGAACCTCTCAAGCATATAAAGATCCATTTCACTGCTTCCCAATGATCTTTACCAGGATTAACAAGAAATCTGTTGACTATCCCAACTGCATGAGCAATATCTGACCGTGTACAAACCATGACATACATCAAACTCCAAACCGCAGAGGAGTAATGAATCTTTGTCATTCTTTCTTTATCTTCCTCCTTAGAAGGACAAGTCACCTTACTCGGTTTGAAGTGACTACCAAGTGGTGTCTCAACTGGTTTAGCATTATTCATGTCAAACATTTCCAGCATTCTCTTTACATATTTTTCCTTTGATAATAATAACTTTCTAGCTTTTCTATCATGATGAATATGCATCTCCAAAATTTGCCTTGCTGGTCCAAGATTCTTCATGTCAAACGACTTGAATAGATCAACTTTCAAACAGCAAATCAATTGAACATCTTGTCCCATTATCAACATGTCATCTACATATAGCAAAGGATGATGAAATTACCACAATGGAATTCTCTGACATAAACACAATGATCTGCATCTGTCGTGGTATAATCATGACCCACCATAAATGAATCAAATTTCTTATACCACTGTCTTGGAGCCTTTTCAATCCATACAAACTCTTTTTTCAACCTGCAAACCGTATGTTCTTTTCCTCTTCAAATCCCTCTGGCCGAACCATGTAAATTTCTCTCTTCAAATCACCATAGAGAAAGGTGGTCTTAACATCTAACTGCCCAACCTTAAGATCCAAAATCGCTACTAAACCCAAAACCACTCCAGTGGACGTTATTTTGATAATAGGGGAGAATATCTCATCAAAGTCAATCCCTTTCTTCTGATCGAAGCCTTTTATCACCAATCGAGCTTTATATTTCACTAGCTTTTCACCATCTTTCTTCAGCTTGAGCACCCATTTATTTTTCAATGTCTTTTTACTTTTAGGAAGCTCTGCTAGCTCATAAGTGTTATTTTTCTGCAAAGAATTCATCTCTTCCTGCATAGCCTTTACCCAGTTCTGTCTGTCCTTATGAGATTGTACCTCCTGAAAATGTTCTGGGTTTCCCTCATCAGTTACCAACACATAATCTATTGCTGGATACCTGGTTGATAGATGAGGTTCCCAATTAGATCTTTTGATCTAAGGTTCTGATGTAGTAGGTTGCTCCCCTGCTCAACATCCTGTAAATTATCCTCATCAACCCCTGCTAGCTCATCAGATGACAGTCAACGTGTATACCTATCCCCTAAGTGGTATTGTCTAGAGGCAAAGAAATAGGCGTATGGTTAGTGACACCCTTATCAGCACGTCTTTGAATCCCAGATTTATCAAAATCCACCAACTTCTGATTTTCATGAAAAATCACATCTCTACTTCTAAATATTTTCTTCTTTTCAGGATTGCATAATCTATAGCCAAATTCTGTATCTCCAAAAATGCAAGGACTAGTTTTATCATCTAGCTTCAACCGTTATTTCTTAGCCATGTGTGCAAATTGCTTTGTACCCAAAAACCTTCAAGTAAGAATAAGAAACATCTTTTCTTATCCACAATTTTTCTGGAATCTCGAAATTCAAAGGAGCTTATGCAAACTGATTGATTAGGTAGCACGCTGTTCAAACTGCTTTACCTTAGAATGATTTAGGTAAACCAGCTATCCTTAACATGCTTCTGACCTTTTCTACAATGGTATGGTTCATTCTCTCTACAACATTGTTGTGCTGTGGGGTATCAAGAACTGTCTTCTCATGTCTAATGTCATGTTCTGAGCAGTAATCTTCAAATACTTTAGATGTGTATTTCCCTCCTTTATTAGTGTGGAGACACTTCAAAACCTTTCCACTTTCCCGCTTCACTATGGCACGGAACTTCTTGAAGTATTGGAAAACCTGATCTTTTGATATTAAAAAGAGCATCCACAATTTTCGTGAAGCATCATCAATAAAAGTAAAAAAATACTTATTACTACCTAAGGACTCCACCCTCAATGGGACCACACACATCAGAATAAATCAAATCCAAAATATTAGATTCTCTACTAGAGAATTTCTAAAAAGAAACTCTATATTGTTTACCAAATAAATAATAATCACAGGAATTTAATGATGTACCTTTGGTAAAGAGAATGAGGGACTTCCTTGCCAAAATCTGTAATCATTTTTGGCTCATATGAGCCAACCGCTTATGCCACAAGTCTGGTGAATAATCATTTTCAGTTGCATTTACTGCTTCACTACACACCTTTACTTATGTCTTATAAAGTGTGTAACAAACATTTCCTCTAACAAAGACGATAGAATCTTTTGTTAGTTTCCATCTTCCGTTGCCAAAATAACTATCATACCTTGCTTCATTAAAGACATGCGTAGATAGCAAATTTAGGCGCATGTCAGGAATATGTCACACATTCTTCAATGTCAAGCTGCATCCAATATCTGTTTAAAGACAGAAATCACCAATTCCCACAATACTGGCAAAACTATCATTGCCCATCTTCACCCTGCCAAAGTTATCTGATTTGTATGAAGTGAAGAATTTCTGTATTGGAGTAACATGGTAAGAAACCACAAAGTCAATAACACATTCAACAAATAAATTTGCAACATGACAACACTGCTCATCTTCAGCGGAAAAAACTGCTACCACTACTCTTCATCTAAAGTGCTAGCTGTTGTATTCTGATCAGTCTTCTTTTGATTTTTCTCTTCTTTCAATTTATTTTTTCAAGTCATGCAATGTTTCTTTATATGACCCTCTTTGTCACAATAAAAATATTTGACATTTCATCTTGTTTTTGACTGACTTCTAAAGTTACCATGTCCCTTAGGACCTCTGCTCTTACTCCTTCCTTTGTTCTCTGTAATAAAAGCATGTGCATCATTCCTATCCAAGTATTTCCTTCGTATTCTTCATTAAACAAACTGTCTTTAACTAGAGTAAGTTCAAATACACCATTCGGAGCGGAGTTACTAAGTGATACTACCAAAGTCTCCCAACTATCAAGCAATAAACTCAGAAGTAATAGTGCTTGCATCTCATCATCTAGCCCTATTTTCATTGTGGTCAACCGATTTGTCAAGTATTGGAATTCACTCATATGCTGAGCAACTGAATTTTCCTCCTTTAGCTTTAGGTTCACAAGCTTTCTAATAGCTAAAACTTTATTTTGAGCAGTCTTCCTCTCATAGAAACTCTCCAATTTTTCCCAAAGACTATGGATATCTGTCTCTTGAGATATATGATGTAATATATTAAGGTCAACCCATTGTCTAATATATCTAATGGCTTTCTTGTTCATCTTCTTCCAGTCACTATCACTCATATTGCTTGGCTTAGCACCACTACCTTCAATAGGTTCATGTAAATCCTTACAATAAAGGATATCCTCCATCATAGGTTTTCAAATAGAATAATTTGAAGTTGATAATTTAATCGTAGTGCCCGAGGTATTCTCCATTTATTCCCGCAATAAATCACACCCACACAATTGGCTCCGGTACCACTTTGTAGGGCAATTTCCCTTATTGCAAGAATAATTCACCAATCCAAGCAACTTATTGTTATATGGGCTCCAGTCCATGACGAATAAAAAGGCCCAAACACCACTTTAATTTTACTTAGGTCAAAAAGGTGTCCATACACATAAATATATCTCAAAAACGAGGCTGGTAGGCAGAATAATCATTAAAACTGTGGCTATGTGTGAGAGAGAGAAAAAACCGAGGCTGCTATAGAAAATATAAAATAGACTTTGGTTGAAAAAAAAAAAAAGAGAAGAAAACCAAGCTGCTAGAAAAATGAAAAATAATTGGAAGAGAAGTTTTCTTTCAATCTTTTAGGTGTGGATTCACGTAGGTTTTTTTTCTTCTCTACATAATACAAATTGAAATTTTCTCTAAGGTACACTTTGGGTACTATAGAGGAGTAATATTCAAAGTGAGTTCTCACAAGGTTAATCAAATTAGTGATTTGTCGTGAGATTATTTGTTTTCCTTAAAAAGTAATTATTGTGGTATTTCCAATTTGTTGAGATTCAAGTTTTGGGACATAAAATTGAATATTGTAATCTATATTTTTATTATAGTGAATTTTGACTGGAATTACCCAGTAATTTTTTTCCCTGGAGGATTTTTCCATATAAAAATTTGGTGTTACATTTTGCTTGTTTTTACTTTGATTAATTACCTGCATATTTAATTACTCTAGTTAGTTGCTTGAATTTGTGAATTATTTTTACAATAAGTGAAATTGCCCTGCACATGGTTTCATCCATGTGCGTCATAAGCATGCAGCCCAAAACATCTATTATCAATCAAATTAAGGCTTCATGGAGTACACAATATATACATAAAAAAGTAACATACCTGCCATCCTTTTGAAATTATATATTCTCCATATTTGATATCTTTGAGGACCATCAGAATATGGGAGAAATAATCCTAATTAACTGGATCGCCACTTTCCTTGTGTCTTTCATCTTGGCTAGATCATCCCATGTTAGGAGCTCCCCAAATGCCTTGCCTCTCGATATCTCCTCTTGCTCTGTTTTACAGTACGAACATATAACTCATAATTCTTTTTTTTTTCCTTTTTTTTTCTTTTTTTATGATGGGGAAACCTACTGTCGCTATCCTTCAGATGTGCAATGAGTAAATTTTCGGGTTGACGTAATAACCTGCAAACCACGTCGGTCTAGTAAACCGCATTAGACAAACTCGGTGCGACGGACTTGATCGAAAAAAATGTTAGTAAGGGGAATAGAACTCGTGATAAAAGGTTTTCGCGCTCACCTACCTACTCTGCCAACTTGACCAGAGGGGCGACTTGTAATCTTTTAACACATCCAGTCTGGTTCTATTTTTATCTACATTAAAAAAAAAAAAAATAATAATAATAATACAATTCCTCTTTTAACCTTCCTTTGGCATGCGAGGGGAGGATAAAAAGTCATAAAAAATCCCCCCCGCTCTCTCCCTCCCTCTCGGGTCACCACATTTAGGGTTCAATTCAATCTCCTTTTTACCCACACGTATCAAACACTAGGTTTCTAGCCCGTCAAAAATGATGCAACCCACCACAACCATGGTCCAGCCGCCCTTGGCCCCACCACCTCAATACCAACAACAACAAGCCCCCCATCAGTGGATGGCACAGCAACAGCAATACCAGGTTCCCCCACCGCAACAGCCGCCGGCAGGAGCGGGTGCTGTGTATTACTACCAGCAACCACCTTCGGTGGCACCGCCGTCGACCGCCCCACCTCAACAGCAGCAGTCACAGCCTCAGCATTACACTGCTCAACCTACTGCCGATGACGGGATCCGCAGCCTCTGGATCGGAGATCTGCAGTATTGGATGGATGAGCAGTACATACTTAACATTTTTGCCTCTGCAGGCGAGGTAATATAAGCATACATGCCTAGGTGTAGATGTTATTAATTGCTATTTTTGTTAATGCTTAATTTATTGATTGTGATTAATTGTTACCACGTGTTTGACTGGTATGTTTTGACTGTTTCCTCTTTAGGCGTTCTGTTAAGATTCATATACACGGGCGTCTGTGATTCTGTAATTTCTTGCCTTCTTTAAACTTGTGGGGTAGATACACTAGTTAGATTCTGTAATTTATGTTCAGTTGATGCGGACATACATGTCTGCTTTTACATCTTCAAGTAACGTTTTATCTCAAGCACGAGGAAACATGGATAAACATGGAGATCTTCTGAATAGTGTATTTCATGCAAGCAATCAATAATGAGAAAATCGGGTATGTAGTTAAAAACATTTGATAAGTGATTTGGATGGAGACTGTTTCTAAATGGTGCAAGGAAACCCTTTTTGTTTCAGCTCTGAGTACTGTTTTATTCTCTTTTGATAAATAATTGTTTTTGAGTTCGTTTTATCCCACAGTTGCTAGACTTTTTTTTTTTTTTTTTTTTTTTTTTTTTTTTTTTTTTTTTTTTTTTTTTGCTAATGGTTTGTTTTGAGCTCAAGCTCATTTGTAACCTCCTAAAGCGTTTATGAATTCAGGTGGTATCTGTTAAGGTCATCCGAAACAAGCAAACTAGTCAGTCAGAAGGATATGGCTTTCTTGAGTTCGTTAGTCACGCAGCTGCAGAAAGGAATCTGCACACCTTTAATGGCACCTTAATGCCAAATGCTGAGCAACCTTTCAGACTTAACTGGGCATCTATGGGTGCTGGTGAAAAGCGTGACGATACTCCTGAATACACTATATTTGTTGGTGATTTGGCTGCTGATGTTACTGATTACATGCTTCAAGAAACATTTCGGGCCAATTATTCTTCTGTGAAGGGCGCAAAGGTTGTAACTGACAGGCTAACTGGACGCACAAAGGGCTATGGATTTGTTAGGTTTGCTGACGAAGGTGAACAATTGCGCGCGATGACAGAGATGAATGGAAGTTTTTGTTCAACCAGGCCCATGCGAATTGGCCCAGCTGCTAACAAACAAACAGCTAGTGGCCAGATCAAAGGTATGCTTTATCCTTCTAGTGATTTAGCTAAGCTGTTGGATTGCTAGTAGAGCATCAAAATTGCTTGTACCTGGTGAATTTGGCCTTTGATGTGCTTTGATTTCTCAAGTTGACAGTTTCATTACGTTGGTCATTGGTGGCTTTATTTTATTGTTTTTGAAATATCTTGGAGTAGTCATGTTTCTTTGTTGAACATAGCCATTAAGTTCGATTTCTTTCAGTTATGCTGTTGAATTCTTGAAGATAAGTGCTGCTTGTCGATTCGTTGCTGTTCCAAAAAATTTCGGTTTTGGGATACTAAAATTTGCCTCATCTCATAGAAATCCGGTTGTCTCAAAGCAGGCTGTCAGGGGGCTCTGTCATATAGAGGCGAAGCTATTATCAGCTGAAATGATAACCCTTTTAATGCGTGGTTTTCTGTAGGTCAGTTTTATTTTAACATTTTTAATTTTCCTTCATTTCTGTCCCCCGTGGCTTTAATTATGCTACAATATTCAGTTTTCCTTTCTCCACGAATCCCTTGAGCTGTCGATCAAGTTAAATTTCCCTTATTAGTCTAACTAGTTTTACAATTGTTAGATTCATTTTATCACAATGAATGTATGAAGAGCAAAATCGGATTTTTTTCAATATTTTCTTATTTTCTGATTTTGAATTTTCCTAAAATTCTACATGGAGCCCTCTATTTGAAGCATGTTCATAAATGTAAATACTAGAATTACCAACAATATTTGATGATTCCTTCTCTTTTCATTCTGCATATACCCTCAATACAAGGAGGACGCCAATTTTGTGCTTTCCGCTTTCTACGCACTTGTGGATGTCTTTGACATTTAATTTTTTTAATGTTATATTTAGCTGCAAGAAGTTCCAAGATTTTCTTTGTACCACTTCCCTTCGTGTCATTGAAATTTTGACTAAATTAGCTTTATTTCCTTCCTGTTATTCTCCAACACTTGATTCTATTTACTCTTAGAAAAAACTGACCGTGAATATTAGGAATTGATATAAGGTTGGTTGGAGCTGCATACAATATGCTGGTTGTTGTTTATGTAGCCAATAAATAATACTTTTCCCCAAGTTCTCCTCCATCCTCTTTTCTCCCTGAGAGGATTTCCCTTTTTTGGTAATAATGGCAGGTAGATATAACTTATCTTGGAACTGTTGTCGTTGCTTTTATGAAGTCAAAATATGCTAATATGCTATTAATTTTTTGTTTTATTATAACATATCTTGGAATTATTGTCTTTTCTGCTTTTGGAAGTTGTATTGTGGTTTTTTTTTTTTTTTATGTTTTCTGTTCAGTGTTCAATGTTCAGGGAGTTACCCTTATCTTTGCAAGTGTTTTATGTAACTGCTTCAGAATAGTTGCTATTTTTCCTCTCTTTTTCGGGTTGTTAAAGTGGGCCAGTTATTTCTTGGTTGTGTGTGTATGGCAATAGTGAGAAGTGAGAATCATCCAAGAAACACCAGCAGAACTCAATTGTTGAATACGGTTTTCTCAATAATGTGATGTGGTATCACCAGACAATGAAATTTTTTAGATGATGTGAAAAAACAAGTCCTGCATTTGTCACAGTTACATTGCCATGCAGGCTCGTCTGTATGTAATTTATTCCCACTAATTTGATTGAATATAATAAACTTCCTCGAGCTGTGCTCTATTTAAAATTTTCCTCTGCCACTCATCTGATCAAGTTGTAAAGGTTCTTGACATTTTCTATATGGAGTTTTTATCATGTGTGCCAATCTTTACAAAAATGGTTTCAATTTTCTTGGCAGTTTCTCTGTTGACTTTTTAAATCTGGGTATTGGTATCTTCCATTATTTTTGTGTTTTAATTTTTCTACCTGTCTGTTTAGTTCATGTTATTAGTGTTTGTAATATGGTTCGTGCGTTTTGTTTGCATTAAACTCAAGGCAAGTTTTAGTGTTTTCCCCCTTACCCTCCTATTTCCAAACAAGGTGTTCATACTTCTCATATTTGCAGCTTCCTACCAGACTTCTCAAGGAACTCAGAGTGAGGATGATCTGGCAAACACAACTGTTAGTCTATTTGTTCATAATAATGTAATTTGCATTTTTATTTTCAGTACATGCTCACCCATTCATCATTTTTTCTGCAGATATTTGTTGGTAATTTGGATTCAAATGTTACAGATGAACATCTAAGGCAGGTTTTTGGACAATATGGACAATTGCTTCATGTGAAAATACCAATGGGTAAGCGATGTGGATTTGTGCAATTTGCGGACAGGTAAGCTAGTGTTCCATCTGACATTTCTTCCCTCAATTTAAATGCCAAGAAATCTAGAAATAGACTTTTTTCATGTATTGTGCACTTGTAACAGAAGTTGCGCTGAGGAAGCTCTAAGGATGTTAAACGGAACCCAGTTGGGAGGTCAAAGCATTCGACTCTCATGGGGCCGTAGTCCTTCCAATAGACAGGTTGTTTGTATATTGGCATCACCGAGCTTAACTATTGTTCTGATTTTAGTCTCTACACATGTTTTCCCATGATGAAGAGAGACATACTATGTTAATGTTTTGTAATTATTCAGCCTCAGGCTGATCAAAACCAGTGGAATGGTGGTGGTGGTGGTGGTGGTGGATATTATGGATATGCTCCTGGGTATGAAACATATGGATATGCTCCACCAGCGCAGGATCCGAATTTATACTATGCAGGCTACCCTGGATATGGAAATTACGCACCACCACAACAGCAGCAGCAGCAGCCTCAGGTAATTATGCTAACAAAAACACCTGAAGATCTTGGCCAACAGTATTCATATTTCTTTTCACTCTCCCAGGCCTTTCCCATATGCAATCACCATTTAATGCGAATTCAATTGTGTTTTGGATGCAAATTCAACAGTATTCATCTCTTTTGTGCGCCCAATATGTTGATTATTTGTTCCATCTTATCTGCTGTGCAGTGATTGGCCAGCATCAAATGGAATACCTAGCTTCTGAAAGTGGCAGTGAATATCTCGCTGAGCTCTTAATTTATTCTGGTGTAGTACTGGCTGTTATTGAGGCCTTGAAACTTCTCTTTGGTTTGATTGCTGTTTAGGATTTCGGATATAGTTTTCAGTTGAACTGAACTTTTCTTCAACCCCCCCCCCCCCCCCAGGGGTTTTCTCCCCCCCCCCCCCCCCCCCCAAGGGGACCCCAACCAAAAATGGTGAGTTTAGCTTTGTCAATGTTTTTTCCTCTGTTCTTGTATACTTTCCTCTTGCCATTTGTGCCCCCATTTCCTTGTATTGGTATTGAAGAGGCGCAGGCACATGTTCATACATGTGTTTATTTGGTCAGTCAACTATAGAACTATTTTGTTTGACTTGTGAGTTGGTGAATTTTGTTCTGCAATTTTAATTTATTGTCTCGCTGTTCCTTCTATATATTTGCCGAATTTGTTTTTAATGAAACTCAAATATTATGTTTCGACTTGCATTGATCGAGTCAATACAAATGAAGCAACCTAATTGAGCTGTGAATTGCAGCTGAATTGGTGCCAATATGGAAACAATCTATGGCCTAAAATTTAAATCTACGAAGGTAGCGTAATTTATATTCAGCCTTAATGAATATACTGGCCGCTGACGTTGCCTTTACCCATGTACGTTTTATAACCATACAACTTGGATTGACGAAGCTTCCTAGCTTTCTAGATTGTCTAGTGGATTCCTTGAACTCCATTGCTAAAGTTCTATGCTAATTGCACGAATGTGCTGATGTTATAGCTAACTATAAAGTCAACAAGATTTTGCCATTGTCCTCACGAGCATCAGTGTGGAGCTAAGTTGCAGTCCGTGACACCAAAACTACTGGGAAAGCTAAGTTGCGATGGCTCGTCTTATATATGCGTTGTTGAGTTCTTGTGGATGTCAGTGGTCCAGAAAAAAATGTTATCTTTAAACATTCTATGTGGGTGAATTAACATCAAAATGGAAATGAATAATGCTGCTTTGCTAGTTGATTTTAACCCCTTGGATGACACATTTAGTGTAGCAAAAATTGATTGGGATGAGGTGCTCACTGTTTTATAAGCAGTCCAATGACAAAAGAGCAATGTTACCCAAACAGGGATCTGTCAAAAGGCTCTTGTGATAGGGGTTGAGGTGTCCCTGATTTGAAATTTCAGATCGTGACACCTCAACCCCCTTTCAAAAGCCTCTGTTTGAGTAATTTTAGATCGGGACACCTCTCCCCTTGTCAAAAGCCTTAGCAATATACATGACAAAATGCATCCAATGTGTTAAATTATCTCGCAACCAAGTAGAACTGAACGGAAATAGCATATGCTAGAATCTTGCGTTGTTTCAAATAGCATCGCGGTCGACTGCAAGGCTTCTTGATTTGGAGATTAAGTACAGAAAATTAGGTTGCATAAAAATGAAATACAACATGAAGTACTTTTGGAATGAGGATACAACATCGTAAAATCATATGTCAAGAAATGTACACTAAAATTTTACATGTTAATTTTGTTAATATAAGAATTAAAACCTGAGCCCACTCCTCTTGTATCACGGGACCTATTATCCTTGTCCGACCCATTTTTTTAGGGTCGCGACGCTATCTTTGACGTTCGTATTCAAAGTGTACACACACAACCACTTCGTCACTATAGTGTCACTTATAGTTGACTTTCAAAGAAAGGCGTGGCCTCAACCTTCTGAGTAGACCAGCCCAATACAAAAACCAATATCCAGTCTCATTTTCCACTTTCTTTAATACGTTATATCCTCTGTAGAGGAATTTTTGGTCCGACTTGTGACCATATAATAGTTACTGGGGCAAGCTTCATTTTGCCTCTTTTGACTTTAGTTTACGACATGAATCATGATGGAACTCGGTGAAGGTAAGTTTTATTTATTCAAATTTGATTTTTCATACATCTATTCATGTGTATAATGAATTCATTTTCTCAATCAAAAGACTAACGGAGATGCAAACAATTTTTGTAAATGATAATTTTCAAGTTCAGTTGCCTAAAAATTTAAGCTATTTAAAAGATATCCGCTTATTTACAAAAACTGTATTTGCAACCAAAAATAAATAAATATTTTTTTGTTTGATTTAACAGGTGCTGTAGGCCAGCTCAGCTCCTATTTTCAACCATAGTGCATTTGTACTGTTTCATCACACCATGACTCTTGGATGACCACGTTGATCACCATTTTCAGCTCTTCATTTTACTATAAATACTCAACCCACCCTCCCTCTCTCTCTCACTGACACACACACACACACACACAGAGTTTACAGGGAAAGAAATGGGTGTTTTGTGTGGACCATATAGTTACTCAAGAATGGAAAATGAAGACTACGAAGAGGTAAACCACCGACGAGCCCAGTTCTTGATTTACAAGGTTATGCAGAAAGCAGATTCTGCGAGAAAACCTTCATGGTTAAAAGTGAAAATATTCAAGTTGAAGGTTAAAGTTGGAAAGAGATTCAAGAGTTTGAGAAAGAGCATTTCATCAACTGTGTCTTCTGCTAAATCTGGTGTTTGCAAGAAAATTAACTGTCAGTTGAAAGCTTGGAAGCCCCTGATCCATGGCATGGCAGATAGGAAGTAGTATTCTCCCAACCAAAATGTTGAGTTGAATTAAGTTTTTCCCTCTTTATTGTTTCTAAGAAGAAAATTTTGGGATAATAATAAACATCTACAGTTTTCAATTTCAAGGGACTGATTTGTCTCTCTCCATTTAAAGCTTCTGATATGGGTTAGTCGTGTATTTAAATCAAACCAAAAGAGAATTAGAAGTCAATCAAATGCTATTCATCATTAGATGTGGTAAAGACCACCACAAATGATGAATAGTTCATCTCCCATCCAA